AGTCGGATATTTTCATCTACGACAATTTCAACTTCAAGAGTTTGCGCTTTCATCTGATTCTTAATTGATGCATCAACATTACAATCATCCTCGATTATCATGTTGTGCATAATAATACACGCAGTCATTATATCATGTAATACATTTTTATTCAAAAAACGTGTCAGTCCTGCCACAATTGCAAACCACGATTGGAGAACTCCAAATGCACATTCCACATCTTTTTCCACACATTTTTTGAATTATATCATTATTATGAATTTATTATTATAAATATTAATATAAATAATAATCAAATTAACTTAAATACAAATAATCAAATTCGGTGTAATTTTTGGTATAAAATTTAATAATCAAATTAACTAAACAAAATTTAAAAAAAAAAAAAATTAATGGTGCTACAGTACCACACCAATTTGAGGTGGAGCTACAGTGCTGTACCAAATTGGGCGTGGCACTGTAGCTCCACACCAACTTGGCGCAGCAAATGGCGCTGGGTTGGACTTCAAATTTGCGTCATTTTAGTGTTTTTACACCAAAATGACGCAACATCAACATGTGGCGGCGGAGCTTCAGATTTTAGAGTGGCAGCTAGTTTATCGGTTGAATATTCCATGGTTTTTCGTGGCTAAAATTGTTTTTTGTTTATAAGGGCAAAGGTGGTGAACGAATTGAAGCAAATTAAGGTGGCAAATTAAGTCATTAGTGTGTGTGTGTATATGTAGATGGAAACTTGGGTGCACCACAAAAGTCAAAAACAAATGTACTTGTCACCTAAAAGATTTTTATTATGCACATGCTTAATTAGTTGATTTTGCTTAATTCTAATCTAAACGAGGTTGAAGATTTATTCGTTTTACACGTTGTAGATTTATTCGTTTTACACGTTGTTTTTGCAAACATATATATATATAAGGGCTAGCTTTTACAAATTAATTGTGCAGTTACTATCAATTATGCTAGCATGCATTTTCAATTAATAGTGAGTCCTTCATTTATTTGCTCATTATGATAGGTGAAGTGAGCTCATTCAGTGTTATTGTGAACTTTCATTTCCTGGACGGGGGTTTCTCCTAACATTAGTTAGATTGAAAATAAAGTGAATTACACAAAATTGAAAGTTTAGTTTAAATATAATAGATACAGATCAATGTCGTTGGCTTCAATTTGATGCTACGTACGTATGATTCATATATGTTTGATAGTTTATCGATGTGAAAGATATACAATAACTATTCTTCATTAATCCAAAGCAATTACACGTATTATAGCTGTAACTTACAAAGAAATATTACCATAAAAAAATATATGACACAAGACAACATTGATTTGCACACAAAGGAATGAACTAGCTAGTTTCTCTAAAACATACACAAACTACATGCTCAAGGCATGCAAATTAACACAGCATTAAGTAGAGTAATTATGATTGATTGAATGAATTAATCACGAGCCCGTTTGTAAAGAGAGAAAATGGATAGAAAGATGAGCAAAACAAGAACGATGGAGGCGAGAAGTGACATAGCAAGGGAGCTTATAATATAATCACAGAACTTGTCGTAATTAGGGCAAACTTTAGTCCACCCAACATGACTGTTGCCCTTATATCCAATATATGCTACGCCGCCGGCGGTTCCTAATGCTGAAGCTACCACCCCAAATATCAACTGCACCATGAGGAGAACGCAATGTAGAAGCTAATTAGTATTCAATTTATAATATAAACTAAATCAAATTAAGGAATTAGATACATCTAATATAGAGAGAGTTAATTAATTAAACTTACCACGTCCCAAAATGCAAAATAGAGCAAAAACTTCTTTGAGAAAGCAGGCTTCAAAATGGTTGAGAACGATGCAAGCGTTGTTATGATACTGTATAGGCAAGCGACCGATAATGCTGTCACAAAATATCTGCACAAACACATAAGAAATCAATTAATCTTACTTAATATACTCAAATAAGGGTGAGTAAATAATTTTTTTTTATTTTTTCTAAATTCACTCTTTAAACATCTACATATAAAATGTAATATCAAAGAAAAATGTGAAGGGATTCATAAGTTCTCTTCTAGTAGCATCTCATCCAACAGATTTTTCCTTTTTTACAAGTTACAAATTAATATTTACATATTTAAGTATTTACAATATATATCCAAAAATAAGTTGTAAATGACTATATTAAAAAATATTAAATAAATTTACTATATAACAGAAAATTTGAATTGGGTTATACACATACAAAATAGGAAATATTTGAAAATATGAGATAATAAAATTATCAAATTAATTAATTAATTAATTATATATATATAAGTAATATTATACGTACAAATAAATATTCCATATAAATTAATATGATAGAAAATGAATGAAAGAGTGAATATAATGAGTTTGAGATTTTGTATTCAGTCTTCCATTTATTTTCTGTCACATCACTTTATATAGAAGTCTTTTTATGAGNTTTATATATACAACCAAAATGTCTATATCAAATTACACGTACTTCGACTAATCTTTAAAAAAGATTAATATAACAACCCACTGCTATGACTAATCATCGGGAGAGACTACTACAATAACCCACAACCATGGCAAATCTTTAGGGGAGACTAATGCAACAACTTATCATCACGACCCTCCACCTAAATCTTAGAAGTCAAGGAGATTCGAATTTGAGACGATATACCTTAATCACACATTCTAACACTCGTCTTACCACTTTAACTATAAAAATTTAAAAAAAAAAGGATAAATACTTGGTACTTGATTTTAGTATAGTATTTTCATAAAGCTATTGAATTAATTATAAAATATTCATTGCCACGTCTCAATTATCATGAAGCCTATATGAACAAAACGTTGACAATAATAATTTGAGGAGATAAGAATTAATTGGAAGAATGGACTTGACTTTTAAATTGGCAGCTTTCATTCTTGTAAATGTAATGGCATACGTCATATGTATTTATGGAAGAATGAGATTTCACACACAAATCAATTGACACATCCATCCAATTTTCACTTCTATCTCAATTACTCTCATATATCTTATTTTAATTAACAAGATTTTAGAGTCATTTTTTGGTTCGGTTTATCTACCCGCTAAAAAGAAAAAACAATTTGTAAATTTTTTTAAATTGTTTGGTTTTATTCCATAAACATTTATAAGCAATATACAGTTTATTTAAAGTTATTCTCATTAAGTGATTAATTGGGTTGATAGGCATTAATTAGCTGCTGCTTGATTATTTTTAAGATTCGATTTAGATGGACAACTACTTTTTTGGGGGGGTAATTAGATAGACAACTTGCTAGTTACCTTTGGATATTTTTTGGTTTTCAATGGTTTCCAAAACTATCAAAATTATATCATATCGTGATATGCCTCTTTTTTTTTTTTTTTTTTTTTTTTTTGACAAGAGTTATCGGTTCAGTTTATATATACTTCAACTAATCTTTTAAGATCCTTAAACTATCAGTCAAGTAAGAGTTTTAGTGACTACTCATATTAGCAACTGATAAGAGACTCAAAATCATAACCTCTTGAATAATAAATCCAAAAGTTTCTATCAAACTGTTCAATCACCCAGAGATAATTAAAATTATATTATAACAATCATTTACAAAAATTAGGATAAAAATTGTTTTTTAAGAAGAGTGTTGTAAAAAATATAATCATCCCCAACAGAGACAGAGAAATATGTGTGTGTGTATATATTAAATTATATTTTCAAAAGTCTAATATAATAATTGTGAATAGTTTGTTATACATTAACAAAACCAGGGGCGGATACAGGGTTTCAATTGTGAGATCTTTTATATATATAATATTAAAAAATTTAAATTATAGAAAAAGAAATTTAATTTTTATAATCAATCTAATACATGGGCATTAAAAATAGACAAAAAAAATGAGATAAAATTTAACCAAAATTATAATTTTCCATGTGAGAAGAATACCAAATGTACGTAAAATAATAAACAATTTGAAAATCATTAGTCATAAATTTGAAATTCTTCATGAATAAATATGCTTTATGATAATTCTGGTTTGTATATTAGTATTATTCTCTTTTTAAACTACTTTAAAGTGTTGAAATTTTAAAAATACTATTATTGTTTTTAAATTTGATTTCATCCTTTTCATTTTAAATTATATATATTATTTTTAATAGAAGTTTATTTTATTAGCTTTGCTCGAAAGCCCCTACCAATAAACCCGTAATTGTTTCCTATTATCCGATTAAGGTTCTTTTATCCTAATATAAATAGCTTTGAATGATAAAAGGAATAAAGGGTGCCAGTTGCTAATTGGGTGAGTAAATATATAAATGATATTTTTTAAAATTTTAATACTTTAAATAAACTATAAATTAAAATAATTGAGACATACTTACCGATTTGATTAGTGTTTATTACCATTTCCCCCCAAAGTATTATAAAATAACATACTCCCTTCTTAGGTATTATAGTCTCAATTCTATTAGTTTTTGGGTAATCAGAGTATCGAAATTAACTTGCGTGCACCTTGACTAATCCTTGAAATCTATTAAACACCCTACAAGCTCAAAAGATCATATAAGTCACAAATGTGGTAGATGATCTCAATGTTCAAACCTAAAAAGTTCATGACCGTTTGATCAACTATGTGGGATTTACACTTACAGTTCTATTAGTTTTCCATGATCTGACTAATGCATATATTTTTTTTCTTTTTACTAACGCATTTTACATCTTACCTAATGAGTTATTTTGTTGAGAAATTGCGTGTGAATGAATAATTTCATAAAGACAGCAGTATATGAGCAAACTTTTTTGCGTCTGGCTCTCACCCAGACCCAGCCCTTCATTTAATGCATGTCTTTAACACTTGACCTGAAACCTAACAATGACACAAAAAACAGATACCATTGGCATTTATCATTATTTCATTTTTCTTCATTCCACACTACGTACTAATTTCATTTCACCAAACTCTTTTAGCTTCCCTCTATTTAAGGCTAGCGATTTCTCACTTATTTATTCACTCTTTTTATTACAACTCTCCCAAGTATATCTCAGTCTCTCTTTAATTTCTTTGAATTATTTCGAATGGATGGGATGGAGGGCAAAGTGGAGATGATGAACAAACGAAGAGTGAAGAGTCGTGAATTGTTTTTACGGTTTTCGGCCTTTCTGTTTACTCTTGTTTCTGTAATTCTTATCGGGCTGAATAAGCAAAGTAAGCTTATTCCGATAAAGCTCTTGGCCAATTTCCCACCCGTTGACGTTCTTGTTACTGCTAAGTGGAAATACCAGTCTGCCTTCGTGTAAGTTCTTCATCTTTACTTTTAATTTTCTTAATTAATGTAATTTCTTCTTATATGTTTATTGTTAAATGGTGTAAAATCGTTTTAAAAAGCTTATTTGGTGAAATTGAAATTGGATTTTAACTTTGCAGGGGTGTGTCCTCTACTTTGTTTGAAAATTTGGTATATTTGTGTGTTACTAGCTAATTTTTAATGTTTTTTTCATATAAACGGATAATTAACTAATGTCTATCAAGAATCGACGGCCTGCTCTTTCCTAGGAAGTCTAATTTATGAAGATGGCCAAGTCTAATTTTTAATGTTTTCTAGGTTAAGGTGGTTGCCACTATTTATGAAGATGTGATGTTCATCTAACATATAGACAAGGTAACCACCATTGGGTGGCATACCACTATTTCTAACTGTGATGTTCATTTAATAAAGATGACGTTTATTTGATCGTTAATTTTAATATCTTAAGAGATTAATTGAGATACGCGTAAACTGATCTAAACATTCTATTATATATATATATATATATATAGTGTTAATTTTAATGTCTTAAGAGATTAATCGAGATACGCGTAAACTGATCTAAACATTCTATTTTATATATATATATATATATATATAAAAAAAGTTGTATAATCTTACTTCTTCTTTCTTCAAAAATTAATAATTAATGAAAATAATATTAATAAACAATTCCTAATACTTTCTTCTTCTCTTTCATTTTATGGAATAATTTTTGTGAAGTTCAGGAACTTTCCAATGTCTATCAAGAAATTAATGACGGTCAAGTGCTTCCTGGAAGGTCTTTTTGTAATTTAGTGTTTTCTAGGTTAAGGTAGTTGCCATTATTTATGAAGATGTGATGTTCATTTAACATATAGGTCCACGTATGAGGAATTTTTTTATGTAATTACTAAAATTCATCAAAATTAAGCATCTTTATATATTATCAAATTACATTTATGAAAAATCTCCCTGCGAAGTAGGTTATTAATATATAATTCCAAATTAAATACAAGATCTAATTATTTTTGGACCATATTGTAGTAATAATTCTGAATATATAACCCGAATTCTTTAATTAATAAATCCAAAACTATCTGTAATTTTAAGGATCATCAAAAGGAAATATCAAGTTTCAATGTAAACTTCTTTTGTTCTTCAGTTATTGTTTCCATTATAAGTTTTTATAATTAATTTTTCATATCTTTTCTGTCTTCTGTGTGATATAATTCACTTAGAAACAAGATTTAATTAATGGATTAAACTACAAAATTTTTCCAGAAAATTTTCCTCAATATCGAACCAATATAAATGACACCAACTGCCCTCTTGCCCAGGATATCTGACCCAACCTCCAGGTTGTCTCATTGCAGCTGCAACACCAAGCTGTCATCTTCTCCGTTTTAATTAATATCCCAACTATAATTGACCATTAATTATGAGCTTCACCGTCAACGTAAATTGATATTTAACTAAGTTGTATATTAATTGCTAATTTTCTTTTTTCTTAGATATCATATGGTGGCAACTCTTATCGCATGCTCGTATGCAGCAGTGTCTCTGTTTGTTTTGAGTGCGAACAAGGGGGGCGGAAAGAGGGGCTTAGCTTCGATCATCGTTATTCTTGATCTAGTGATGGTGGCATTGCTATTTTCCAGCAGCAGCGCGGCCGGAGCCATCGGTGTCTTGGGGTACACAGGAAATTCACATGTGCAATGGCATAAAGTTTGCAATGTTTTTGGGAAATTCTGTGAGCAAGCTGCCGCTGCAGTTGGCTTGTCTCTATTTGGTGGATTGGCGTTGCTCTTGCTGGTTGCCTTTCAAGCTTTGGGAGCTCACAACATTCCCAACTAGAAACTTTGAACACCATGAATGCTTTCATGGAGACCTTTTCATGTTTCTGCCCCTTTTTATTTTTATGCCTACTTGGTTTGATTTTGTTTATTTTCTTTTTTTAAAATGCATGCTCCTTGTTGTCTCGGTTCTTGGATTTTTAATTAGGAGATGTAATCGGGGGGATTACTTTATCAAACCTATATGAATAATACTACACATACATCATTCTCATACAACATTTCTCATACAATATTATGTGGTAAGATATGATTGGGTGAAAGTTTAATTTTAACTTTAAATTAACCAATCATATCTTGTCACATAATATTGTATGAAAAATGTTGTATGAAAATGATGTATATGTAATATTACTCAACCTATATATAGTAGTGCATCTAAATAAAAAAGAAATGTTTAGAAAATTATAAATATTGATAGATTTTTTTTTTTTTTTTTTTTTTTTGAGAAGTTGAAAGATGAATGGCCTATCAATATATTGGTAATTTATAGGGGAGTAATGCTATGCTTATTCACGATCTTACTAACCATCTTACTATCTTTTATTAAAATTATATATGGTACCCATATTATGCTTTATATTTACACAGGATAGTAAGATAGTTAGTAAGATCGTGAGTAAGCATATTATTATTGTTTATAGGGATGGCAACAGGGCTAGGACCTCATTCCCTGTCCGTCCCCGTCCCAAAACCATTCCCCCATCCCCGTTCAGCCCCCACTACAGGGTAGCAAGGAATCTCCGTTCCCACCTGGCTGGTAATTTTGGACCCCCATCCCCGCCCCGCCCAAATAAAAAATAAAATTAAAACCAAATGTAATCACTATTCACCGAATTGAATATATTGATACTAAATAAAATTGTTGCAAAATTGAAACCAACTTTATACATGGATCCAAACATCAAATTTAATTATGAAAAATGCGACATCTAATATTTTAAACCAATTAGCTCTAATTTAATGATTTCCAGCAAATACCTTGTAAGAATAAACATCATTAGCTGATAAAACCTATATATAGAGGTGCGTGTTCGTCAGGGGGCAACTGCTTGTTCTGGAGATATATCCTTCCAGACTTGCCCAGTAGAAAATCCAACTTGCTGACCCTCTTTGTTTCGCCAAAAGAATTTATCAAGGGGTACCACCTTGAGGGCAGGGAGGCATCTGGGAGCTAATCTGTGGGAATTCCACTTAAATCTATCGGGCCAGGCCCACCTGTCTCCATCCACAATTTTGCAAACAGTCGCCTCATGATTAAGTCCCAACCTATAAAAATTTGAGCTGGGACAATGTTGCACAAAGAGCCACAGCCACAGTGGTGCCAATGGTCATACCACAAGGAGACGAGTTGTCCATTCCCCAAGCTAATTCCCACATGTCGCCGAATGCTATCCCTCACCCCCAGAATTTTCCGCCAAGACCAGCTGGCGTCCCAAGGGATGCGGACACGCCAAATACTTTTGCCCTACAAGCGAACTGTGTGAATCGACTTGACCCATAACGTATTCTTGCGAGTGACCACCGACTAGATTTGGTAAAGCATAAGGGGGTGTTTGATAGGGGTTAATGAGAGATTATTAGAATTATCTTATCTTATATTATTTAATTATTACCTTTGGTTATCAAGTAATATAAGATTCTAATAATCTTCAAATACCAATAGTGATAGGGGTTAACGAGAGATTACTAGAATTATCTTATCTTATATTATTTAATTATTACCTTTGGTTATCAAGTAATATAAGATTCTAATAATCTTCAAATACCAATAGTAATTGCTATTGGTAATATTGGAGGTAATCTGATTACTTCCATTTTCTTAGATATTCTAAAATTACTAGGGTAATCTTTTTTTGTTATAATTCTATCCTTTATTAATAAATTTTAGGACAATAATGCTTTTATTTTTAAATTTATTTACATGAATATGACTTTTACTATTTCACCCCCAATTAATTAATTTTTTTGACAAAATTACCCTTGAATTCAAACCAAATTGCAGTTCACCCAAGCCACCACTCCCACCCACCTACCGCCACTTGCCGTTGGTAACCGCCGTCAGAACGGTGCACGGAAGGCCGAAAATGGTCGATATGGCCATTTCTGGCCAAATCGTGACAGATCTGGCCATTGAATACCAGATCGATGGATCTGGTCGTTGACAGCCAGATTAGATCTAGCCATATCTCTGGTCAAAAATGGTCATACGGTGCATGGAGGTCATTTCCTACCTTCCATGCGCCGTTAGGTTGTCAGCTTCTGACGGCCTACGGTGGTTGTCGGCGGCCGGCAGTGGCTGGGTTGGTGGGGGTGCTTTGTTGATTTTCTAAACTTTTATTATGGGGTTGTTTTTGCTAAGTTTTTAAATACAATGGGGTTATAATAGTCCAAATAATAATTAATATTAAAAAATAATATAATAATATTTAATTAAAGAACAATTCAGTAATTTAAATAACATATCCACCAATTTATTCATCCCAACCAAACATATTAATATAACATGTCCACCAACTAACCAAACACATTTTCTTAAAGAATCTTACTAATCTTCAAGATAATTTAACTTTCTAGTAATCCAATATTTCCAGAACCAAACGCATCCTTAAGGGTGGTATTCCAGATGCTTAGAGGTTTTAAGCCCAGGCCTCCAGCTGCTTTAGGAGTCCAGGCGACTTGTACTTCCCTTAATCGTCTTGTTTCCCTGCCCAAGCAAGTGGCATATCATTCTTTCTATTAATTTCGTCGCTGGCTTGGGCAAAATGAACACAGAGGCCCAATAGACCTGGACAGAAGAAAGCACAGAAATGTGGGATTACATTATCAAAGCTATATATAGAAGTGCATCTGAACAAAAAAGAAATGTTTCGAGAATTATAAATGTTGATAGATATTTGAAATTAGAAGGTTGACTAACTATTTATTAATTTTTTTAGAAGTTGAAAGATGAATGGTCTATCAATATATTGGTAATTTTATAGGGATGACAACGGCATTCCCCATCCCCGTTACGGGAATGTCGGGGAATCCTCATCCCCGCCTCATTGGGAATTTTGGACCCCCACCCCGCCCAAATCAAAAAATGAAATTAAAACCATTTGAAATCACTATTAACTGAATTGAATATATTGATACTAAATAAAATTGTTACAAAATTGAAACCAACTTTATACATCAATTCAATTGTGAAAAAATGTAACATCTAATATTTTAAACCAATCAGCTCAAATTTAATTCAGTAATTTAATGATTTCCAGCAAATATCTTGTAAGAATAAACACCATCAGCTAATAAAACCAAGAATCATAAATAAAACAAATAAATTACCAAGCAAAGAACAATATAAAATATATGTAATTTAATGATTGGATAAGAGTATTATAAGGGTGTTTGTGTATATATATATATATATATATATATATACACGGGGCGGGGTGGGAGATGAACTATCCCGATTCCCGAGGGAAGGGGGGTCTTTGTTAGCAGAAGTGACCCACCCAATTCAAGTTGACCTCCATTAACAATTAATGTGATATTGTTACATTAATATCCATATAATATTCAGATTCAAAGTATATAAAAACTTAAAAACATTGAGAGATTGGCCGTATTTATATTAATTTGCTTCCATGGAAATGGAGTCCATGGAAATGGAGGGAGCAAAATATGTGAACATGTTTTGTGGCTCCTTGTGATCAAAATTCAAAACCTTGAAATCGCCACGATGATAATTCTGCTGACAGCCTTATCAAATCAGAGGGTATGGCTTAAATAGCCTAATCACCAAGTAAAAGAAAGTTAATCATGAAAAAGATATGCAAAATCAAAGAATATCATAACAAGAAGTACGGTACAGTACAGTACAACTGAAATATATTCCTACAAAAAATCACTGCTACAAGATTCTCTCGCTACATTCAACAATGGAAGACAAGGAAACAATAATGGCGGGTTACAGTGGTGACCCTTCTGTCCCTTCAAAAGCAGAACCTCCAGTAATGTCACCTTTGCATGAGGTTTTTGTGAGTAAAGAGAAAGGTTCTAGCTGCAGAAAACGAGAAGAAGATGGCGAAAAAGGAACAACTGATCAGAGAAATAGAGAACGGAGAATGAGAGAGAGAATAAATCAGAATTACAATGAGCTTCAGTCTATGCTTCCTAAAGAGTTACTCCCCAAGGTTAATTAATTGCTTTCTTCTTCTAACACACTCATTTTGATTTTGATGCTCTTATTGACTGATTTCATTGAAATTTTAATTAAATTTTAAAGACTATTAATGAGTAGTTTTCATTTCCCTTCAACAATTTATACTCATTTTTATTTTATGTTTCTTAGATTAAAGTAATGTAGTAATCTTAAATGTGGGAAGCCATTGTTTTGCTCATGGTAGTGACAATTTTAATCCATGTTTTGCTAGGCAAGTCGAGAGAAGATTGTTAGTGAAACAATTGAACATATTAAGGCACTTAAAGAAGAGTTAGAAAGATTGGAGGAGGAGAAGAATTCATCAACATCAATGGTGGCAAAAGGGAGGGTGTCTATGTCTTCCAACGAAAGTTCCTCCATTAATGTCACAGTCTCTGGCGACATTGTGTTCTTCGGGATTCAATTGTTGGCTCGACAAAGGTTAGTGACTGATATTTTCATGATCTTCCTTGAGCAGGGGACTGAAGTTTTGGCTGCAAATGTTGCCGTTAACAATGGCCTATTGATGTTAACAGTTACTGCATTAGTGAATGGGAATAAGAATATCGTTATTGAGAAGATTAAGAGAGACATACTTATGTTATAGCTTGTGATTCTTTTTGGGTTTTATTTGAAGAAGGGTAGTGAAAATTGGTATAGAAAAAGAGGTCTACATTTACAAGTAGCTAGTTAGTTATATGAAAAAACATATTTTGTCAAGGCAACACACTTTGAAGAAGATCAAAGTAGAAACAATTTACCTGTTAAAATTGAACTTTTTAGGTATTGATTTAATGAAGAAAATAGTGGAGATAGGATTGTTATTGCTTCTATTTCTATAATCATTTCTGCGATCGACGGCGTCTTGTTTAGCAGTTGAAACAAGAGACCATGTTTTGCTTCTTGGTAGTAATCTCATGGCAAAAGAATTGAAAACTGAAAAAGAAGTTATTATATAACATATCCAATTTATAAAGTAAATGAACATTGAAGCTGCCAATGTTACTCTTTTCAACTCTGCATCAGAAAATGACATCTATATTTCTTTCAAGCTCTGAGAATCCTTTAATGAGACATGCCTAAGAGGGGGAAGGTCTTGGTTAAAAACAGGTTGTACTAGTTGAGCCAAATGATTTAGACTTACTATTTTTTATGCCAAAAAGTGTTTCACACTCTTGATGTTTTTCCATACTATTTCTAGCAGATATCCAGCATGTATTAAATTTGTATAGTCTCTCTAAGCGCCATGTATAGAAAAGGTACTGTTCCGCTCCTGGTTTCTCTCATACATTATGGCTTGCTTGTATCTCTTTCTCAACATTTTCTTCTTTACAATTTCCATTTTCATTCCTCCATCAACTCCACACCTTACAAATTCTACTAATATTGATGGCTTCACTGTTCGTTTGATCCACCGCAACTCACATCTATCACCCTTTCACAACCACTCTCTTACCACCTCTGATCGTATCCGATCAGCAGTTCATCGCTCCTTTTCACGTCTCAATCGCTTCCATTTTCTCATTTCACCTTCCTTAATCAGCGATATTTCACCCAACATTGTTCCTGATGATGGTGAGTACTTTATGACATTCTATATAGGCACTCCTCCGAGACAAGTATATGCTTTAGCAGACACTGGAAGTGAACTCACTTGGGTCAAATGTTTGCCGCGCAAACAACGCCACGAAGAAACTCCACATACTTTTGACCCCTCTAAGTCTTCTTCTTACAAGAAACTGTCATGTTTTTCACCCTCCTGCAATAGCCTAAACATGAACAAGAGACTCTGCACGAAGGGCTCTTGCTACTACATAGAAAAATATGGCGACGGATTAACTACGACAGGAACCCTTTCTGTCGACAAATTTAGCTTCGAGGATGATTATAAGAATGCTATGGATGTTGATCATTTGATTTTTGGTTGTTCTGATGATGCATCTGGACCTGTCATAGGAAATGAAACTGGGATTGTAGGACTTACCCGACGACCATTATCGTTAGTCTCTCAATTGAACTATACAAAGTTTGCATACTGTATGGTGATACCTACAAATAATCAGTGGTCAGGAACAAGAAGCAAAATGTATTTTGGATCAGAAACTGAATTTCTCGGGGGCCAAGCTCCATTAGTAATTGGATCAAACAACCAATACTACTATCTGACTCTCCAAGGAATCAGTGTTGGTGATGAAAAGCTACAAATCCCAAGTGGGATTTTTGATATAACAGAAAATGGACAAGGAGGATTCATCATCGATTCAGGAACCACATACACATTACTTCAAGGAGAGGCGTTTGATGCTTTAGTGAATGCATTAAGTGAAGCAATAAACTTACCGCAAAGGAGAAATTATGGGGAAGAACTGGAACTGTGTTTTGAAGGTTCTTTTGAGGATTTGGTTTCGCAACCAGATGTAACATTTCATTTAAATGCAACTGATCTGATACTCACGAAAGAGACCACATATGAAGAAGTGGAAACTGGGGTTTGGTGCCTTGCAATTTTGAGGTCTAAGAATCCTTTGTCTATACTTGGAAATGTTCAGCAGAGGAATTATTATGTTTCATATGATCTTCGCAATGGCACCGAAGCGGTTTATTTTGCACCAGTAGATTGTGCTGTCTTCTAACGTTTTTATGAATCCTTCAAAATGGATCAATCACTGTAGTAACTAAAATCATGTGCAATGTTTTATAACCAACCGCGGTGAAACCCGGCAAAGCTGCCCGGTCCCAAGTTAACCGGTTTGACCAAAAGTTTAAAATTCAGTAAATACACTCTTAAAAATCCGTCAAGTTCTTACAGGTTTAAAATTTAGCAAACACGCCTTAAATACTAGTCGACGGCCGACTAGTTGGCAGTAACAACATACCAAATACAATCTCAATCATCCCTTAAACCCCATTCCCTAGAAAATCTATTCGACTAGCTCTCACCAATGCTAGCGTCAACCGATTATTATTCCAAATTCTAGAGTTTTTGTTGACTAGAAAAATTGTTAACCCAACCCGATGAAGGTCCCAGGCCCAGTTAAACCAGTTCCATCGGCTGGGCAGGTTTTAAAACACTGATCATGTGTACTATTAATACAATTTACTACTTAAAAAGGACATAATATAGAATGATAAACCCAGATAATTTAGAGGGCAAAACGGGATTTGTACTCTGATAATTGAACGAGATAAACAAAAAATAACAATTTTGTGTTATTACAAAGAAAGCACCCAGTTTGAAATGAATGTGATACAAAATCATTCAAAATGAAATTAGATTTGGCTACCCCAGTCTACAGCCTGATTCCAGAAATATTTTAAGAACTGATTAACATGGAACTGAACAAAAGCTATGGCTGAATTCAATGATTCTAATATTACATCCAGAAAACATTAAATGAGATTTTTTTCTTGGAGTCAGAAAGTAATTGGGGAGTTTTTAAGTGTCATTTGTAAAAGGTGCAATAATTGAAGAGCCGTTTCTCTGCTATTTGTGCCTGAAAAATGGCCTTTCTCCATTTGATTGATGCAATGGAGCCCTTGGAAATGATGAGCTTCACTTTCATTGACTTGCACTTTAAGCCAGAATACTTTCTTTCGTTGTCAGGTCTTCTAAATTTACACTCATCTTTAAGCCTCCATTTAAAAGAGTGGTAACCATGGCAGGAATATCAGATTTTAAAGCAGTAGCTAATGCCTGCTCAATAGAATGGAACGATAATAAATTAGTAAGCTTAGCTCCTAGCTACATACAAACTATTGAAATAGATAGTAGCATAAATATAATATTCAAGACAAACCTTCTTGTCCTCCTCTTTTTGATGCTTTATAACGTCCAAAGGCCAGTCACTTATCAGCTTCTGAAGTTCAACCATAATACCCGACTTCTTTGCATCAGATAAAGTCTGGAAGGCATATAGTGAAGTTATATAATGCTTCCATGCAACGATGAAACACTAAAAATAATACAATACCAAAGCACCAAATACTATAATATAATATTATAAAAATGTAAGTTTAATGCCTGACCAATATCCTCCTTGATTTTTTGCCACCCAGCAAATATAATCTTGATGCAAGCAAGTAAATAGACTTGTATTGATAGCAGGCCCTAAATGATTGCGTTGAATAATAAAACTCACATTTTAAAGAACAGCAAAGAAAGAAATTTTCCATTATGTTTCTTAAAATGATAATCTCCTTTTAAATTTATTAAAGGTACATTTTCCGTTATGTTTTGGAGGGAATGATATTTGCAAATTCTGTTCTATTATAACCAAGCAAAAGGCACCTGGTTTACCTGATTAAGAACTTGAATGATAGCAGCAGCTTCCTCAGGCTTGCGATCTAGTAAAAGACCCTGCAAAGAAAACAACAATGAGAGAAAGATAGTCATGCACTGAGCTGTATCAAAACATACTTGATCAGGCCAAAGGCCAGCGAAAAAAGTCACACTGTGATATGACATTACACTTTACATATCAAAAGTAATTCTCATACTGAAACAACACACTTTTATAGATAATCCAGAATTATTACCTTAGCACATGAAAACCCAGTCATAAGAGTGTGCTGCTTCATGGACTCCGATCTCAACTTCTCGATTTTCCACAGTGCCTCGGTGTCTCCTGGGTGTCAGAAACTTGAAATTCTTTAGAAATGAGGAATTAATCCTAAGGCATAAGCGAAAATATCCCTTTCAGCCAGAGGAACTCTTAGATGCGAATTCACACTGAGGAAGAAACATAGGCCATGTTTAACCAAATGACATGAAATGATAAGTTCGTAAGTCTATGAATTATCAGATGCAAGGGATGTTTGACAAGGAATTATCCATCAACAGACCAAATGGCCAATGGATGACAACCGAGTTCTACACTCAAAACCTCTTGTCAACAAAGGGTGCCCATGGGGGCACAAATCAAGACACTATAAAAGAAGTGTGATAAGATGCAAAAGCAGAAAACCATTTAGGTTGAGAAACTTTAGCAACATTTTCACTGACTAATTGGTTGAAAAACCCCACACACCTACCTCTCCCGCTCCCAACCTCCAAAACCTTAAATAACAATATTGCAACTTCCAACCTTAAATACCAATATTGCAACCTCATAATGAACTGGTCTAACAGACATAATAAATCAAAACAAATTTGAACTTTGAAGTTATATAAAAATAAAAGCATTGAGAAATTGTTCACACCTCTTTTGGCAGCAAACTCCATCCAAGTGTTGAACGTATTTTGTCGCAACTTTACTCCAGAGTTGATAAATTTTTGAGAATACTTGGAGATCAAGTCCCAATCATCTGTGTCGTAGCAAATTCTACAAGTGTTCAATCAAAAATATAAGATTATAATCATGATGACAGATAGGATAATAAAATTTAGCAGACGTGAAAGTCTAGCAGTAATCAATAAGTCTGCAGCCCACAAATTAAGCTAGTTACATGATGGCAATGGAGGCACAATTAAGATTCAACTATCCAAGGGATTCACATCCAACAAGACTAAAGGCACATGAAATGCTGATATTGATGGTTTACTCAAATAACAACTTGATCTACTGCATGTACCCAGATAACAACCCAGAGATGTAAACTTTAGAAGGCATTCCAGATTGAAAGATGCAAGAGATTGCTAGGCTCAAAAATTGGACAATGATAAAAAATTCAGTTAAAATTTGACAGAAAACTTCTTTTGGACTTCAGGATTATTCAAATCTGAGTGTGACTTTGACATAATTTCCTCACCGAACACATGGAAGTTTTTAGCAGAAGAAAACTCAATAAGGAAAGTGCCATAAATTATATCCAACAAACCTGAAAACAATGTCTGCTGTTCCAGGTTGTAATGGTAAATCATTGCGTTTCAATAGTTTCATAACTTCCACCATGAGTTTAGCATCCTTGTGATCTTTAGCAAATGACTGCAGTTGAATCACAGCAGGCAATTACAATATGCAAAATTGCAGTGTCAAAAGAATTTGAAACCAACAGATGAGTTGAATGCCATTAATACCAGTAAATGATGGGCAGACGCAACACTAGGACTCAATCCATACACGTTATGCTTCCACAAAGCCTTCTTTCCTTTAAAAATAAATAAATAACTAATGTCACTGACATATTGAAGACCATAAACTACACAGCTTTTTAAAGTATTTTTAAGTAAGCTTGCAAGTCAAAAGTTCCAAACATCAAATTCCAACTAGCTATTAAAATATATATCTCTCAGAAACTAGATGAAACCAAGAACAGGCAAAACAACTAGTTCAGATGAAAGAAACTATCAGTACAATGGATATTAATTCACATTAGGAAAAAAAAATACAGGCAAAGTCATCATACACACATTCCCAAGGCATACCAAAATCAATAGCTCCTACACGAACACATGCCTTAGCAACTTCCCGGCAAAGATTGCAATTAAAATTGGAATGAATGCGAAGATTCGACAGTCTCTGCAACCAAACCCAATTATATAAAAAACTCCAGCACAACTGATTAAAAAGTAGATTACAAAAGAACAATAATTTAAACTAAAAAACAAAAACCATGAACTCCAGAACTAACAAATCTGCGGAGGTTCTCCAAAATGTAGAATAGAAGTTTGATATCATCATGATTTTTACAGTTTTCAATCAAAGACCACAACCAAGCATTTGGCGGCATTGATCGTTTAACTTTCACAGATTCGAGCATCTTATCGTATAGCTCCTTCACAGTCTCTGTATCCAACAATACAAAGCACATATCACATCACTAAACAATCTCCAAGACCAATCACAGACACATTCAAAACTTTGATAAGAACCTGAGGGATTGCACTCAATGCTTTTCACCTCCGCTGAAAAGTAAGCCCTCGATGTCAACATTGAATTCCGTAGGTCTGTTGATATTTGCAAACGATTTCCTTGAATCATCCCTGCAAAATTAAGTATATTTAAGTCGCAATCAAAGAGACTGTTAATAACAAAATTTTCATGTAACAGATTTTCCTTCAGAAATCAATCCAATTCTTAAGGTTTCTAGGCAATCAAATATAATACGAATAAAAAAACTCTGCATCCAAAAAGATTCCATAATTTGCACTAGCTTTCATCACTATAAGGCGAAAATTAAATAAGCAAAAATAAAAGACAACCATGAAATGCGATTACCTGATAAGCAGGGAGAATAAGAAGAGAAAGTGTCGCGGTGTTGCCATTGTTGAGGACAATTGTTAGATGAAATGAAGATTTGTATCTCAGGCGAGCTTAGGAGAATCGAGGGTTTCAAGACCCTACTGAGTCGACACGCGTTCGAGAGTACTTGCATCACGTATGAATCGGCCGAGTTTAAACTAAGTTGACGTTGAGTGTACTCGGCGGAGCTTGAGTTGAGTTGAGGTGAGGTGAGGTTTCTCACTCAGGGTCTCAGGGTTTTAGGAGGACGAGAGAGGGTGCTCATGTGCAGCAGCGGTCCACTGGTATCTTTGTTGGACCTGAGATCTTATATTAATGGGCCTCTCCTCATATCGGAAAGCCCAGGTATACAACAAATAACGTTACAAGCCCAAGACTAATAGAAAACCAGGACTGCAAATTGTTGAATTTAATATACACAGTTAGCCTCTATATATATATATATTGTACCAAAGACCAACTTAATTTAAATAATCTGGTAAAGTTATTTAATCCCAGTTGATCGTTTTAAGAACTGCTATGTTTGATCTTGTTAAATTAGTTTGAAATAACACTGTGTGTCCCTTCTGGTATCAGAGTCAGGGAGGAGGCAAGGATTTAGGATTGTTTAAATTTTGTTTATTAATTATTTTGAGTACAGAGTCTTTTTGGGTTGTGTAGGGCTGTAGGATCTAACCGTTGTAAGTCCCATTGACCAACCACTGTAGGGAAAGAAATAAGTGATTCACAAAATGGAAAACTTTTCTAGATCAATGTCTACTTCCAGTTCTAATACTAGAGATGAACAGATTATTCATCAAGAAGAGATTTGTATAAATCAAAATGACAACATAATTGAAACAAGCCATGATTGTACACAAAAATATAAACAGGTCATAAGACCTCAAGATTTACAAAAACATTTTAATAAGTGGAACATTCCCAAAATTTCTATATCATATGTTTACAAAGAAGGAAAATTATCAAGTCTCAATAGAGTTAACCCTTTAAACAAATTAAAATACATTATTAAAATAGAAGAAAAAACTCTTAAGATAAACAATTCTACTCAAATAACTCAATTATTATCTAAAGAAATGGTTAAAAAATACAAAAAGAGTTATAATTATCTTCATATAGGACTTGTCCAAATAGGAATCAAACTGTCAGCATTAAGGCTTGGACCTACCATCTTTGCCTGTTTGAGAGATTGTAGATGGCTAAGATTTAGAGATTCTCTATTAGGAACAATAGAATCCAGCCTGTCAAATGGACCAATTTATTTCAATTGTTATCCTGATTTCACAGTCTGCTTAGTGACTAAAAATACTAGACGTTTTAACTAAATATAAAACGTTTAATTATGACTTAAAACCGGGAACCATCCTATGGAGCCATTTATAGGATTCAATATAAAGTAATGCAATCAGCTTTTGAAATTAGAGCCATTAATCATGACCAAAAAGGTCACACGGTGTATTTCAAACTGATTTAACAGAATCAAACATAACAGTTCCTAAAACGATCATTGGGATCAATAACTTTACAGAGGCTTGGGGATTAACTAACGCAGTTATTCCTTTAGAAATGAGAATTCCTAAACCTTAACCCAACCAATCCAAAATACAGAAATCGAAAACATAACTGAAATTTTGATGGAAGTGTTTGGATTAGGTTTAGTAGGCCTCCAATAATAAGTTTTGATGACCTACACTTATCCTCATAGATTAAATCCCAAAGAACCTCTTGAACAAAGAGATCTTCTTGTTCAGTAAGATACCCCCCTAGACCTAGCCAAGTTAAACAAATATTCAAGGAATTGATAATTCCTCAACCTACCACAACCTTATTATTTTAGTTCAAACACCCTCCAACAAGATGGGGAAGAGACATCACAAAGAATGTCCAACCTATTCCCAATGACAGATTTGCCAGAGTTAAACATTATTGAAAAATTTGATATTGTAAAAACTTCTTAAAAATGATTTTATTCAAAAGATAATCAAGAAATTGAGAAACATTCTTCAAAAACTTCAATAAAAAAGAAAGAGATGTAATTCAACAAAATTATTACAACTTTATGAAAACACACCAAATTCTTTTACCTTTCTTCCAATGGTTTGATAGTGAAAAAACAATCAATGTCCAAACAAAAACAAACGTGGAAATCGCAAGAGGAAAAGATAGAGAAATAGAGTCAATTCAACCACCTTTAACAGAAGTAATGATTCCTTATAAAGGAGTAGAAATTAAGGCTTCACCTTTTAAAGTCAAAGAAAATTTAAATGAAATATCAGGAAATGATATAAAAAATATTTATCAACAAAATAATTATGCAAACCAATGTTTGAATACTATTAGCGAACAGTTAAATAGAATTGAAGATGTTGTTGCAAAACCCATCCTCAAACCTATCGACGAAAGGTCAAAACCACTAAAAATTGTTGATAACAAACCTTTATTTATTCCACATGAAACCTCCAAACACACTAAAACTTTAACCAACAAAGAAGAATTTATGCAAGAAATACATAGAAAAATCAACCAGATAAAAGAAGAATTCTCTAGTGTTGTCGCACCAGACACGCCAAACTTCTAAACATATAAATTTATTGGTAAAACAGATTCATCAAAATCATCAGGAATTGATGATCAAAATACTTCCTTAAGTGTCATTCTATTCAAAATCAACAACATGAATTGGAAAAAACCTCCGAAAATGTATTATCCAAGAGCTTAGCCCAGATTTAGTTTTGGAAGAATCCTCTCAAATACAACAAAGAAATACAATGCCAATTCTATCTATGAATGGGACATAGATGGCATGTCTGATTATAACATTATTATGGTCTTAAACAAATGACTATGGTCAGTAATGCCTATAGGACTAAACATAGTTCAACAGACCAAGCCATAGCCCACTTTTGGTAGCTGGCTTCACTGGCTCTCTCAAATCCTGGTGGGATAGCCACCTACAAGAACAAAACCAAAGTGAAATTCTTACCGCAATCAAACTTAATGATAATGGAATACCAATTTTGGATAAGATGGTAATGAAATTCAAGATGCTGTGAATACCTTAATTTTTACGATAACTCTCCACTTTGTAGGAGACCCCGCAAATGTAAAAACAAAAGTCAAGCTGCACTAATGAACTTAAAATGCAAAGCCCTTCATGATTATAGATGGTATAAAGAAACATTTTTGTTAGGGTATGCAATGCTGATAGTAACAAAGCCTATTGGAAGGTTAAATTTTGTACGGTTTACCCAAAATCTTAGTGAAAAGGTAGAAGAAAAATTAGGAAACAATATGATGGTACTATACCATCGAAAATCTAACTTATGGACAATTACATAGTTTTGTCCAGAAAGTTGGAATGAAAATTTGCAAAGATGAAAAACTCGCCTACCAAAGGCAAAAAGAGAGAAAACAGTTAGGAAAGAATTAGGAAATTTTTGTCAACAATTTGACATCATCACAGAAATTCTTTTAAAGGAAAGAAAACCAAGAAAACAATAACCGTAACGTCAATGTGACAAAACCATGATAATCGTCATAAAACCATGGAAAATCGTAAGAACCATACATACAAACCCACATTTAGGAAAAAACCTTTCAACAAAGCAAATTTTCTTAAACAGACAAACCCACAAGACAATTCACGTGCTTTAGATGCGGTAAACAGGGTCATATTGCTAGATATTGTAAAATTAGTAAAGGAATGAGAATTAAGCCTTGATGATGAGCTCAACATAATTGAAATGATCATGATACGTCCTCTGATTCTGATTCAAGTGAAAAAGAAATGTCTGATGACACCAAATTGATGAAATTGAAACCTCTAGTGAAAATGAATAAATGTTAACCAAAGACCAAGAATTCCTCTTAGAGCCGTTAATAAAATTGATGATCCTCTTTGAGAAAAGAGTATCTAGAGAGACTAAAAAATAGCTTCAAAAAAACTGATAGGAAAATAGGCTTATAGCTTTCAAAATATTATTGAACAATTCGAAAACAAGAAAAACAAAAATTAACACTCGAAGATTTAACAAAAGAATACAACTAAAAATTGAAGTTAAAGATTTAAAAGAACAATAAAAACAACATTCGAAATTACTTGTTGCCAAAGAAAAAGATAAATCTGAAGATGATGAAGATATAATGAAGATTTCATATGCTAACCAATAAACTTATCAAAAATGGCATATTAAGATAAAACTCTTAATTAATAATGAATTTATCCTAGAAACAATTGCTTTATTTGATACTGGAGCAGACTTCAATTGTATCCAAGAAGGTTTAGTTCCTACAAAATACTATGAAAAAACACAGAATCTGCTAACAGCCAATGGCTCAACACTTTTTATCAATACAGATTATCAGATATAAGTTGTAATCAAAATATTTGTTTTAACACCTCATTCTTATTAGTATAAATTTGAGAAGAAGTATGAGACTAGGAACACCCTTTATTAGTTTAATACAACCATTTAGTGTGATGATTCAGGGATATCCACATAAATAATGGGGGAAGTTCTTATCTTCAACTTTATACACAAACCATCCAAAGAAACCTAATATCCTCCAAAAATACTCAACGTCAAAGAACGAAATAATCACCTTATCCTACATAAACAAAAAACATATATACTTCCTCCAAGAAGAAGTTAAAACTAAAAGAATCTAATCTCAAATTCAACATAATGATATCCGCACAAAGATAAAACAAATACAAAAAAATATGAAACTCAAATTTGCTCTAACCTACCTAATGCCTTTTGGGATAGAAAAAAATATATGGTCAGTCTGCCTTATGAAAAAGATTTTGATGAAAAAGAAACACCTACAAAAGCCAGACCAAACAAATGCATAAAGAATTAGAGGAACATTGTAAAAAGAAAATCGATGATCTTCTACCGAAAAAATTAATTAGGAAAAGCAAGTCTCCTTGGAGTTGCTCAGCCTTCTATGTTTAGAAAAATGCTGAACTTGAAGAGGAGTTTCAAGACTTGTAAATTATAAACCTCTTAATACAGCCTTAAGATGGATAAGATATCCAATCCCAAACAAAAAAGATTTATTACAAAAACTATCCAATTCAAGAATCTTTTCCAAATTCACATGAAATCTGGGTTTTGGCAAATCCAAATTAAGCCAGAAGATAAGTATAAAACCGCATTTAGTACCATTTGGTCAAATGAATAGAATGTATGCCTTTGGGTAAAAATGCCCCATCCAAATTCCAAAGAAAATGAATGAAATTTTCAATCCATACTCCTAAT